CCAATTAGATATTTCGCAACCCCAAAGGATAAGAACTTGAAGAAAAAAAAAGAAAAAACTTCTTAATCTGACAAATAGCAATAGTTGTTTGAATTAAATTTTTAAAATTCTGTTTCACATGTTATTATTATTCTCCCTTCCTTTAAACTAGTTTCTGTTTCCTATTAATTCTTTCTTTTTATCATGATATCAGGTGCCCTAATACCTTTCTCTGAACAAGCTTCTTGTCTTCTATTAAAACAAAGTATTCCTGCATCTTCTATCTACTGCATCAGAAAAAGCTCTTTTTTCCCCTTCTAAATTATATAACTTATGAAGTCATAGAAAAAATGCAAATTAAATTCTAAGCACTGGTTTCTTTTGCCCCTTTACTCTCTCAGTGACACTTGTTTTTCTCCTCATATTGGTATTCTTCTTCCTACAGCCAAACTCTGCTGGGGAACTCTTCCAGTGTGAGCTTATCCAAGTTCCCTGTCAGGGTCATCTGCTGTTTGTAGTTGCCAGGCACCCCTTCCTCTGCTTTTCAACCATCCAGTCTTCCTTTAGGGTATTATTTGATGCCCATCTAGTAGGGCTGTCAATCCCATGCCTTGACTCCAGCGTTTCAGAGGTGGGCCCTGAAGTACTGTGCTATGAAATGTGGTCAATAGGCATTTACCATTCCAGGGCCATGTTTGGTGCTCCCAGTAGTGGGCAGGAAATGAAAAAAGACCTGGATTATTATTATTTTTTTTTAAGACAGGATCTTGCTAATTTGCTGAAGGTTGACCTTAAACTCTATCCTCCTGGTTCATCCTGCAAAGTAGCTGGGATTATAGGCTTGTGCCACTGCACCTGGCCTAGAGAACATGCTTGTTTGAGTTCTGATATTAATTCTGGATTTTTCTTCTGTGACTATAAACATTGGGATTTCGTGAACACATAGTTGCTGAGGTTCATTTTTGCTGGTCTGTGGAGATTAAGAATGTAACCCAGAGAAAAACAAAGTGGCGGGGGGGGGAGGGTAGAAGGAGAAAGAGAGAGAGATAGAGGGGGGATATTAACTTTTATGAAGAGAAATGTGCCTTCTACCTAAAGAAATTTCTTGTACTGCTAATAGTTGGTGGAATTGTGTAGAGGACTTTGAAGCCTTCTCCATGGTCCTGATAGACAACATTGGTAATAAGACACAGCTTGCAAGGACATGGGAATTAAATTTATTTAACTAGGTTGAAGAACAGTTCTAGAAACCTTAATTCAGTTAGTAAATTACTTGAGAGAACCACTTCTCTTTCTACCTAAATGGAACACTCATAAAGCCCCAGTAGAAATTTTACAGATTGACAATTTCTTCCAATTCCTTAGCACAACACTGAAGGATGGTACCTAAGCAAACACATGGCAATTGTACCAAAGTTTTGTGAGGAGGACATCCGTGCTCTTAGGTAATCTTATTTCAGTTGTCATAAAGCCGAATAAGAACATGATGTAGAGTTTCAGACAATGTTACCTTTCAGAAAGCCAAAATGTACTTGAGAGGTGGTATTGGATTAAAATTCATGAGGCATCAGATTTATCTGGTTCATCAATTTAAATCACCCATGAATATTAGGTGGTGCTAGATATATCTTTAACCATTCAAAGTCGAGGTCATTTATACTACCTTCATCAATCCCCTTTATGTCACTAATTCTGGCTGAACAGGTTTATTTTCCATGGTCTTATATTCTAAACCACTGGAAATTGCTCTTTTTCCAACCCCTCCTTCCTTCATTTTTCAATAAAATAACACTCATAATATAAATTAGTGGCAGGACTGTTGAGTTAATTTTGTGTAGATTTAGGAGGTAGATATTGTAGTGAGGCAGATTCCAATTTGTCATCAGTAAAATCTTCTTGCACTAAATGGTGGCCTCGCCTAACAATGGCAGGATTCAGGTTGAACTGCTATGGCTTGTGTAAGTGTTTCCCAAAGTCCCCTACATTAGGGTGGCCGTAGTGGGAAGTGTTGTGCGTCTTTAGGAGGTGAGGTCTGGTGGGAGTCCTTAGGTCACTGGGGGTGTGCCCTGAAGGGGACTGTGGAACCCTAGGCCTGTCCTCTCTCTGCTCCCTGGCTCCTGATGTGGCAACTGAGTCTCACATGCATTCCTGCCATTGTCATTCTCTGTCATCCCTAGAGGCCCAAAGGCAATCCTGGTGCCACCAATCTTGAACTTCCAAAACCATGAGCTAAGTGAACCTTTTTAAAATAAGTAGACTGTGTCAGTTATTTCATCATCATAACTAATAGGTGAACATCCTTATTGCTAGATTATCCCTGCTAATGATGTTGTAGAGGGGATTTAGGAATTGGTGTGAGTTTTGGATAACATGATATTTTCGAACTATTTTAGCTCCAAGAAACTCTAAACTGCTAGTAGTTATGTGAATTCTATTAATACTACTTCCAAATTTTCTTACTGATAGTTATAATTACCATTTGGCAATCATCTATTATATGCTAGATACAATGCCAGGTATTTTATATTCATGTATTCCAGGTAAGCCTCATACCAAGTCTCGATATTGTCTTTATCCATGTGAAATTAGAGAACTGTTATTTTATATATATATATATATATATATATATATATATATATATATATATAT